TGCAAGTCTCTGTGATTCACAAACCAATAACTCACACTAAACTTTAAAACATTCCATATATTTACATTTAACATGTTTGGAAGCAACTTGAATATACTCAATATTTGAATTCCTCGCTGCCCTATATCGTTGCATTTTAACTAACGTCGCTGCAGCTTTAGTGTGACGTCAGGTTAACGCATGTTTCTCCGTGTCTTTCTGCGCGTAAGTATACACGAAAAGGTTTTCAAATAAATTTCACAGATGGCTTAGTAGAAAAACACAGTGAATGTAAATATAAGAAAATACAATGTTAGTTGCAACTTACGCCAAACAAAGATAAATAAGATTTAAAATACCATTTATAGAAGCATTTGTCTGATAATATACCTCTATTTATATTTATTATCTAATTATTATCTAAAAAGAACTCTTCCTTCCAGATTTATTAGCTTTCCAAATAATATTCTAAAACAATACAATACATAAAGTGAGTTTAGATGCTACAAATTCACTTTAGGATTTGATGAGTCTATTCATTTACAATATAAGTTAAAAATATCTTAATATAGTTTCATCGGGCTAAGTAGAATGATGGTGTGATCAGAATGCCGCGGTTTCGATTCTTCTCCACAACACCGCGGAAAGCAAATCAAGTAAGCATACATGCTGACGGATTACGCTGAAATTGCCCGGTAGTAGAATTGAAGGTCACGGATCATTTGCATGTGATTTTAAAGTTCAATAAATAATTATTTCAACTTGTTGGACTGGTGCCAAATACAGATCTTTCTTTGCGTCTCTATGTTAGATAATAATTATAATTATTCAATGGGGCAGTGAACAACATAGAATATATAAATCCAACATTGTTATTTTTTCTTTCGTTTTCTTTTTTTTTCTCATTTGTAAATATTTAAATAACAAAAAAAGTCACAACACAGGAATAAATTTTCCCAGTTTAATATTCAGTCTTCAGGAGTTTGACAATACAATGCTTAGTTTCACACATACACTAATTCAACATTCTTATTGTGACGTTAAAAAGATCTAATACTTAGTCACGCTTTAGCAAAGTACATTATAACGTCATGATAAACCGTTAGTAATTTTATACAGAAAATGAGTTTTTTTTTTAGACAAATAGTGCAGTTATATAATGGAGGTAAAAGTATACACATGTACCTCTAAACGAAATATGATTATGTTGCATTTAAAACAGGTTTATGACTGTTTATAGTCTTTCTTTAGGTTTATGTTCTTTTTCTCCCTTCGGAATTTGTAGAAAGGAAAAACAATGAAATCGGGTTAATCATTTTTGGCACAGTTTCTAATGTGCTCGCTTACGGCGATACACTGGTATTTTGGTTCCCTAATTTGTTGTCGGTGTACGGTTATTCTATGTCTCAGGGTGTCTCCTGTCTCCCCGATATAATTTTCAACACAACCGCAACAGGTTTTCACAGTAATAAGATTAGAGCTGGAACATGACATTGATGTTTTAATTGTAAATTTGCTGCCGGCTTTGAATTGAAATGTAGATCCTTCTGTAAGGCATGGACAAGTACTGTACCTGTGCTTGTTGCATCTATTGATGATTGCTGGTTAGCTGTTGTTACTGGAGAGTGATGCTTATTCAAAATGATCTGTGAAGTTTGTAATTCTTATTTTCATGCCTTGATCATCCTTTAAGATGGACAGATAATTTCAAATAATGTTGAAAATGGCTCAATTTTTGTTTGTGTTATGCGTAGATAGGTATGGTATGACATTATTAACCTGTTTAATTTTCAAGGTAAGAAGATCTTTTCTTTTGTGAGATTTGAATTGTTTATTTCGATAGAATAGTGTCTTTGAAGGAGTAATTCTTGTAATTCTATGAGATGAGATTGCAAGATTTCTGCATCGGAAATTATTGTACAAAGATGTCTGGCTACAATATGGAATATTATTCCTGTTTTGTCTACGGTGACAAGAGTCAAATGGGAGATATTGTTTTGTATCTGTTATCCTATAGAAAACAAGCGTTATTATGAGGTTTTCTTTTTTTATTACCATGACGTCGAGGAAAGAATAATAGAATTATTCATTAACGAGTGTGGGATAGTAAAATTCCACCGAGGGGACAAGATTCAGGGTCTAGAACGAGGCTTTGCTGAGTCTTAGACCGTGAAGCTTGGCCCCGAGGTTGAATTTCACTATTCCACAAGAGTGTGTAATTAATGCTTATTTTTCTCGCGTTATTTTATCTAAATAACGGTCTGTCAGCGTCATTAAAAAATCACCTTTATTTATTTTGCATCTAATTAAAAATCATCTGAATACAACATCTAAGAAATCATACCTGAAAAGTTTTATACTATTGAGAAAATGATTTTCAATCCCCTTAAAACTTGCTTAATGATAAAACTGGAATAGTTTAAAAACATCCGTGAACGTATAATACATTTCAGAAAAATCATTCCGCGAGCTACAAATAGTGCTATTTAGGAAGTGGACAGGTTTTTTTTTCAGACACTCGTGTTTGTGATTTTCTCATTGTCAGTTTGGCCTGCATTTTTTGACATTCTTTTCCTTAAAACATTAATTTTTTGACACCCAGAGGACTAAAAATAAACCACTTATCCAGCATTTTAGGGCTTTTTTCGTTTGTTACTACAGAAATGTAAAAGGGGTCTACATGTTTACAATATTTGTCGGGGCGTTTATTTCTATACAAAATGTAGTTGGATACGGGGCATTTTCCAGGATTCTCAGGGGTTGCATACATCCAAGGTGGGCAGGCACGATTATCAGTGACATCCCCACCAGTTCTAGTCTTCGTTGCCCTTTCGTGGTATTGTAGGTAGTCAAGTTAAAGTGTCTCATCCCTTTTCAAGACTACATCACACCTTTTAATTTTTCGGTGTTCAGTCCCCCCTCGTTTGCCTAAATACAACGTATTATTGAACCATAGAGTGCTTATGAAAGAGGTTGGTGTAGGTTTTCCCACTTGTTCAGTCTTGAAGAGAGTTTCAATTTCATCAAGTATTATAGAGTCGGACCTTTTGGGATTTTTTTTACATGCCCTTGTGCTTTTAAATCCTTTTTTTACTTTTTTTTTTTTTTTTTTTTTTTTTGCTTTTAAGGCCTCCCTGCACTGCGCAAATTCAAAGCCGGTTATTAATGAAAACTGGTAATGAAGATGTTCTAAATGTCTTTCAAAGCTCCTATCATTCCCCTAAGTCTTGAAGGTTCATATTCTTCGCAAGATTTTGTGCGGACATTCACAATAAAGTTCAAAACAAGAGAGGGTCCAATTTATTGGGGCTATATTGTAAATTTCTCTTGACTCCCCTTCAATTTCAAAATACTCACGTAAAATGTTCAAATGTCCCATTGTTTTTCGAAAAGTGTTTGAGTTTTCATTTGCTTCAATAAAAGTAGACGTTTCCACATTTTTTGAATCGCACACTTATACTTGTACCCTCCATGATAATATTTTATTTATTGCAGATGATATTTGTTTACATTTAAAAATTTTTGTCTGTAAACCATGTCATAAAAATGCATTAAATTAGTTTCCAAGATTAATTGGAAGCTTTCTAAGGTTTTTTTGTTATGAAAAAGGGTTTTGGGAAATCTATCATGCAAAAGGCTAGGAAATCTAATCTGCCTATCCAGTGTTCTATTGCGATGAGTCCTATATCATGTGGAATGTTAGGATAGAGACAGGTGACATCAAATGAAACTAAAATGAATTCAGGGTTGATTTTTTCTGGAATCGTATATATAAGGGAGTTGTTGTAGAAGTCCATGGTATTGGTAAGTTATAAATTAAAATTTAATCCAAGATAAACAAACAAGTTCGCTTTTAATTTTAACACTAAGTATCTTCGCCGTTTCGGCTCTCAGAGTTTAACAAAGATAATAAAAACAAAAAAAACTCGTTGTTATGAGATCGATATTATGACGTCACAAAGGCAGCGATATACATTGGCGCAGGTATTTATTTTCCTGTTCTTAATGTCTAAGGAAAAAGTAATGACTTTGTCATGAACCTGTCTTTAATATAAAACCGTCAAATTTATTTTCACTGATACCATCACTTAATGATATTGTCTTCTTCATTCTGTGAAAATTTCATTAATCTTTAAACAAAAAAAAATATTAGAAGAATCCTACCTTAATCATTTATCAAAAAATTATTTTGTTCTGCTATTTTTTTTATTATTTGTTCTGCATCTTTTTAATAGACCTTCATTAAGAAAAAAGGGTGATGAGGAGATATGGGACATTTGACACATTCATTAGCCTTCAATGTTACCATCATTTATTTTTAGATGTGTTTTTAAAAATGTTATTAGAAAAATCTTTCATAGAAATAAAAAAAGAAATGTATTGGACAGGATTTTTAAAAGAAATTAAAAGGATCAAATTTATGTGCATGAAAATAGTCAAATTTGTTTAATTTTCAGACATCCATTGTTAAAATAGGTTTAAAATATCAAAAAATGTATGGAAATAATGTTTAATTTAGATTGCATATTGTGTAATATTTTAATGGGTAATATATATGTTGTATGATGATTTTGGGATGATTGTAAATGGGTGTGTTTGACCTATTCCATGTACCTCCTGGTTCTTTATTATCCCACAATGTCGTGTTAATATTTTCACTAAATGCTCATTACACTTTCCTTTTCACAATTTGAAGATTTCAGCAAAATCTATAATTTTTTTTTTTTCATCAGAAGTGAGGTGTCCTTAGCTAATTTAAATTATTTCACCTGAAAATATCAAAGGTGACGGTATTCGAAATTAGCGGGATTCTTTAGATGCCTTCCAAATATGTAAAACTTAATATGCATCCATATCATATGTGTAATAATAATAATAATAATAATAATAATAATAATAATTCAGGGGGAGAGGGCTTATAAGGGCTTTGTGGAAAAAAAGAAATAAGAAAAAAAAAGCAGTTGCTAGATGAGAAATATGTAAATAAACGTTACTCAGAAAAATACAATTATTTCATAACTTACTTTGTAAAGGTTGAGATTCTGCAACATCTTCTTCAGATCTGAGTGCCTCTACAAAATAATTTGTTTTCTCAAGGATCACTTTATATTTTTTAACAAATACCTTTTATAGTCCATAATCATTTTAACAATTCTACTATTTTTCTGAAAGTAAATTTCATTTAAATGTGAATGTATTTTTCATTATTTCAATAAATATTTGATTAATAATTAAAATGCAATGTATAACTTTGCAAACATTTACTTCATCATTTTTTTTATAATTCCTAAACTGACTTTTAACTCTGTTTTTATGGTTTGGATAGTTTTGGATTTATCCGAGGAAACTTGTTTGACCATGACTAACTATAAAGTAACATATCTTTTGCAAAAATTGTTATTATAAAATTATTATTGAAACATTCTTTCTAAATGTTCTGAAAGTCAATCTAGCTTAAGAACTCGTCATTCAATTAGATATTTTCATTAATGAAATATGAGAATGACTCTTTGTCTTTGACTGTTACATGTAATTTGTTACCAATGTTGTTGCGGAGGTATTGTATTTTTTGTATGATCTCGTGATGTTAAAGTATATGAGGAGAGCGTTAACTTATTGCACTCATACCTTTTTTGCAATTTCTTGTATAATGTACAATTATCCATATAACATATGAAGTAAGAGCAACTATGGCTAAAAGAAGAAGACTTGAAACTATCTGCCATATAACCTCTTTGCACTTGCAATTCTTTTGTTCTATGCTCCTACAAAAATGAATGAAAGATGATATAGGCAAACCCATAGCTTAATTTAACACTAAAAGTAGATAGAAAAAGTGTAAACAAGTCAATAGAAATAAGCCAATATCAAAAATATTTCAGGGAAATGTATGTTTTTTTGGTCATGTTTAATTTTCTAAACAAAGGATATGATTTTTTAAATAGATTTTTAGGGATTGACTTTTAAATGATAGTTTCTAAGCATGTGGAAATATAATGTATAAATGAGCTTCTGATTTTAACTTCACAGTAAGCTTATTTCAAAAGTCATTAAGGATGAACCTATGTGGACGTATGTTTAATTATACAATAGTAAAAGATAAACAAATAGACCATTCATCAACTTTTGATATTTTACATCTGGTATAATGAGAGATATTCATACTAGATAATTCTTATACATCCCTTCATCTTAAAGTACTGTGAGCTTAAACAATGTTTTTTTTTTTTTTTTTTTTTTTCTAAAATAAGCAATTACCTTATCAAGGAAAAGTTGTACACTTTACGTACATTAGAGGGACAAATGCAATGGGAAAATTTCCTGTCTTCATTTACATTTGTGACGTTGAAGCACATTTTATCTGTATGGATAAATAAAGTTTGGTTATTAAAACATTGTTAAGAGTCGTTGTCAGCAATAAGTTTGAAATTTCTTTTAAATACAATCCATTCGAAAGAAAAAATAATTACATTTGTACACCTCTGTGGAATCGTAGGAGAATGGGCAGCTTGTTTTACACTTTTTGTATGGACTATCTTGAATTAATCCTCCTAGCATATTGAATTCAGCACAACTATGCCCTATTCAGAGAGAAATGCATAATCATAACAAAAAGAAGGAGAGGGTCTTGTAATATTATTAATGCGTTAAATATATATATATATATATATATAAATATATATATATATATATATATATATATATATATATATATATATATATATATATATATATATATATATATATATATATATATATATATATATATATATATATTTCTTTTTCTTTCTTTTTTTAAACTTACCAATGACATGGACTGCTGGTGCACATACTTCCAACGTTGAGTTGGCATAACTGTTAATGACACAATGATATACAAATTTGTTAGGTTGAATGCATTCTTGTTTTACCAGCCAACATTTCTTTGCTTCTGCTCGCCATTTCCATTCCGAGTGAGTTTTTGGACAAGAAGACACGTAAGTGATTGTTTTTTTTGATGCCGGGCACGTTGCTATGCATCTTAAAGCATAGAGTGACTGTGAAATAGAATTTTTTCTGTTATTTATATACTTGCTGTTAAAATACATAGTAATAGGGATTAATAAAGAAATATAAGAGATTTTTACATTTCTAACGTTCAAAATTGTATTTGAACTACTGATCAAAAAATTTTTCTAAGAAATGAAAGTAACTAGAATTAATGTATAAGTTGAAAAAAAATGAACTTTTGCTTCAAACTAAAAAAAATAAGAGGTCTCACTTAGAATATCTCACAAATCGCAATCAAATAAAGATCATTGAAAATCTCCTTTATTTGTAATGTATCTGCATGTTTTACCCAAACATTGACATACCAGAAAATGAATGAACGACACAAAATTGAATAGCATGTTTCTTTTGTCTTTCTCTCAAATCGTGTTTGTTCCTGAAACCAAATAAAAGATAACAAAAATAACGAAAATTGATATTGTTAACTAATTTTTACGATAGTATACTGCAGTTAACTTAAGTTAACTATGGTATTAACTTTTTTCTCCAATACTTAACAAATATTTTTATACAGTAAATCAAATAATTTTTATTATATATGTGTTCTAACTTTACCTCCAATTTTACCTCTACTGCCTTTACTATATATAACATAAATACCATAAAACTGTCTTTTTCACCGGGAAAAGACTATTTCTCTCATCTGAGGACTACTCCCAGAAAAAAAAATCAGAGCTTCTCCCACGGACTAAATCTTCATAATTATTTATTTAGTAATCTTAACCAATCAAAGGGTTCAATGGTCGGAGCGTTCATGGATTCTCAAGTCTGTGACGTAATGTTATAAGCAATGCAATTATGAAACCATCAAGGAATTTTAAATTCAGAAATTGCACATTTCATAGTCGGAGATTCATCATAAAAAGGTCTAACACATAGTGTGAAACAGTGGGTCAATTAACAATGGTCAATCCATTCCTATGCTGATACGATATACCCTGGTGAGCTTCAGCTATAATATACCATAGAGTTTGACACATTTTTTTCCTATTCGGATATTTCTCTTTAGGAAAGACGTTAAAGGTACTAACAACCAAGCTCTATGATAAACGTGATGACTTTAACTTTTCTATCCTACATATGCACCAATATATCTTCATTCATTGTGTCAAATGCTGATCGACGTTTTTATGCACTATTGATCCGGGACGTATCTTGTTTTTGTCCTGTCTGTTTATCTGTTTGTCTGTCAGTCTGTTGTCAACTTTAATCTACGGCCGCCAGGATAATTACTCGTACAAAGAAACATGATCATATAACACCTGTGTTAGTCAACTTACATTGGCTTCCCGTAGAACATCGAATCCAGTACAAGCTGCTTCTACAGACTTTTAAAGCTTTAAACGGAACATCGCCACTTTATATACAAGAACTGGTTCAGGTTTACACGCCTAGTAGATCTCTACGCTCAGAGAACTCCATGTTCCTTGTTTAGTCGTGCGCGCGGACTAAATCATACGGTGACAGGCGGTTCGACGTGGCTAGTGCAACATTGTGGAACAGTCTTCCTCAAAACTTGAGAATGGAAAGAAATTTTATTCGTTTTAAAAAATTATTAAAAACTTATTTATTCACTACTGCATACCCAGATTATTCTTAAGAAGCTACTTTAATTTGTTTTTAATTTTTTTTAAATTTAAATTATCTTATAACAAGGGACATCACAGCAATTTACATGTATATATATGTCTTGTCTTTTTAAAAGTCTATTTATGTATATTCTTATGGCTTTAATTTGTAGTCTTTTAAGAGTTTATTTATGTATATTCTTATGGCTTTGATATGTATTTTTAGTCCCATAGTGCTTGTAATTTTTATGTTTTATGCTTATATATTTATGCTAATATTTTAATGTACAGCGCTTTAGAGTAATTTTATATTATAGTTAGCGCTTTATAAATTGTGCATAATAAATAAATAATAAAATAAAAAATAATCTTCGCCATAAAATTTTAACCGTGCGAGATAGAGACTACATATTTGGTTTGCATACTCCATTAATAAGCTAAATGACGCCAAGGTCAAATACCTTTTGAAGTTGACTTTGACCTTTATACTAAAAATAGCTTTTTTAACTTTTTATTTTATATCTTTTTGAGTCGGCCTTTTTTCAACAATGGTTTCAGCATTGAAAGTCCGATATTTGCTTTGAATTATTTTATATTAATTAATTTTGGTATTTTTTTCAAAGAAATTTATCCAAAAAAAAAAAAAAAAATTATCCGAAGAAGTTGTGTTCAAGTTAAAAGTTGTTGTTAATGAATGCATCAGAGATGAATATCTCATAAAATATGTAAATAAAGGCTGGTTAGACTTTTTAATTTTTTTTACCAAAAATTATTTATGAAAACAAAACACATTATTTGTGAATATTTTTTAAACCTTTGAATAAAACACTATAAAACTAGTCACAACTAAGGACAACATGTTTGTCAAACATATTTTTAAAAGAAATTGAAACGAAATTTGGAAAATTTATATAAAAAAAAAATTTCTTTAATATTTGGACCTAACCCGATGAAAATTAAACTGATCCCTTTCAAAATTAACACAAAATGGATAAAATGCTAATTTATTGCCCATTCATGTATTTACAATGAAGAAATCTATTTTATTGTCAGGTTCGATAATGTTTTAAATTTTTAATCCTTATAACACCTAATCAGTCTAGTGTTCTTGGGGAAATGTTATTTATTTCCAATAATTGCATGTATAATTATGGTTGGGATCGGTTTAATTTTGAGCGGGATTGGCCAAAATTAAAAAAAAATAATTTCTCTTTATATTTGGCTATTTAGTTTCAATTTCTTTTATAGATATGATTAATGAACATGTTATCCCCAGTTGTAACCGGTTTTAAGAAGATTTTAACCTATGGGCGTTAAACTAGCTGGTAATAATATAAAGTAGGATCGGACACCGAACATAGAATAAATATAATCATCTAATAGATAATTCGTCACTAATTATAAATTTATGTCAGATGCTATTTTGAACAAGGAAGATAGTGATAAAGATGTCAAATGCATGTTGAGCGTAGGGAGCCACAAAGTCAGATTTTTTCGCTTTTATTTCCTTTCAAAATATATTTTTGGAAAATTAAGCCAGAATACATTTTTCAATTGATTTCTCGGAATTTCGTTTTATTTTTGATAAGTTTATAAATGTATGACTGGGAAATCAAGATCATTCTGGTATCCAATGCATTATCGAAAATTTGATGTAAAACATCCTTGAATTTAAAGGCATCTAAACGCCCATGTAAAAAGCCCCCGAAAAATGAAATCAAAACCTTTATATTCAGTTGCAGGAATAACTGTGTTACAGCTTTATTTAATCAGTGGAGAAAGTTCAAAGTGCGATGGGTAATTCATTCATTTTAAAGAAATTTTAATTTCTTTTTAACTTTGTTTTCGATTTATCGATTTATCAATGAAAATCAGCAGGTCATTTTACTTTTTACAGAAAAAATGGTTTAAGATGTTGCTCGGGATACAAATGGAATGACGAGTATGGAAATTGCAGCAGTAAGTTTTTTTTCAGCATAAACCTAAAATATGTGAATTTTATTGTTAAATGGAATTCAAAGAGCAAAATTATTCTAATTGCTATTGTAATGTAAAGAAGTATTATACTTCTTTGCCACTGGCTTATTTAATGATTTATGCGTGTTCTATTCCTGCCTTTTCATGCTTCTGTTTTATTTAGAATGCCCTTCCGGATATTACGGTATGGATTGTTCTCATGTTTGTCCCTTTCCTAATTATGGAGATAACTGCATAAAAACGTGTGAATGTGAAGCACAAACATGCCATTTCGCACTTGGTTGTGTTCTTCATACAGGTGATATTTAATTCAATTCAATAAAGCATCTGCTCATGTAAAAGTTTCCCTTTACTAAAAAATAGAATTAATAAGTGTTTTAAAGGTTTGAAGTTTTTTCAAGAAAAGTTGGTTGCCTAGACCTATTGACTAAAATATTCAGACGCATTTTTTTTTTTACCTCCAGAAACAATTCCCCGGTTCAGTTTCATTTTCTTTCATTATATAAATATCGTTTTAATATCATATTTGTAAAGTTTTTTTGGAATAAAAGTATTTCCTCTTACAGTGTATCTCCAAATATATTTTTCGTCAGAAAAAATAGGCATTGTTTAAGGTCAAGATCTAGTAAATGAAAGGTGCCTACAGATTTATCAAACTTGAGAAAAAAACTCCTTTATTGAGGCTTTACAACATAAGCTTGGTCAAATAAGGTGTTTCGGGGCATAATTTATAGGTAAACAAGTTGAAAAACCATATTTT